GGTGAAACCATGAGCATGTCTCAGCTGTATGGAGACTGCTCCCTGATTACCATGAATGGCAGGAAGAACCATCAGTCACCATACACTTAGTGCCACTTAGCCCCTCCGTTCCACAGACTAGCACAGATAATGAAGTGGAGGAGGTGGAGGGTCAGGAAAAAACCCATGTGGATGATGCATCATCAACTGCTACCGAGACCCAAGAACATGCTGGACCTGGTAAGTCTCTTGTAATGTGCCTCTTACCACTGCCAGGGAATGCCCAGGTTCATGCTGGTTGGGTTTGGGGGAGGGGGAGGGGGAGGGGGAGAAATTCATGTGTTGCTGTAGGTGGGTCACCATGTTCTTTCGGTGCATGATGGGTTCAATAGCTTGTAATGTAACACACATGCCAAACTAATTATTTGCTTTAATTAATTTTTTGCAGCCAGCATGGGTAGTGGCAGCCATGGACCTATTTCCAAAGTGACTACTTGTAAGTTTTGGGCAGAATGAGTAGTGCCCCACTGTTCTGGGGTCTGTTCCTGTGCCTGCCAGCATTTTGTGCACTGTATGGTGGGGTGGGGGTGTGTACTTTCCTCCTTTTGGGTGGAAGGCAACCATTGCTTTTTTCTTTGTTTATCAGCCACTGTGACCCATGGCCACTGGAAACGGTGCCCTGCTCACACTACAGCAGAGCACTGCAGAGATTTTCACAGCAAACAGAGTTGGTTCTGTGAAACCTCGCTCGAGGTTCTGGTGGAGTCCCCAGTAGCCAGAGTGGAACTTGAAGATGCCTAGTGGGACGAACTCTGTGAATCGCTGTATAAGGAGGATGCCATTCTTGAGCAAATGCAAGACACCATGCAGAATTTAAAACACGTGGTTGACGAATCCCATGCTTCATGACAGAGGTCACATGATATTTTCAAGGATGCCTTTCAGAGTGTGCAAAACTTTCTAAATAAATGGGTATGATGCCCTAAAGGGAAAAGTTGGACTGCTCATCTTGCCTCTGTGTAAGACAAGTGGAGAATTACATCTGAGCCTGTTCCCCCTAACTCAGTGGGGTCACAGCAGGGCCATATAACTGCCACCAGGGTCAGGATGGTGCCACTGTGTTTCAGGGAGACAGGAGTGGTTCAGGGTCATGGTGGGGTGAAGGAAAAGAAGCACAAGCAACTGTTTATAATACTGTGTTTCAAACAATAAAACCTCGTGGCTTCCAGGCTTCCTTGTGTCTGCCTCCATATCCACCCCTACACTACTTGGTTGCAAAGGTGGATTTCATTCATTGTTTGGGTTCATTTCTCTGTTTGTCTTTCCTGCTATTTGCTGCATGGTGCCAGGGGGAGGGGTTGGCAATTGCTCTTGCACAGGTACACAGGGGGGCTCCAGAGGTAAACAGGGGGGCTGCCTGGGTACGTCACAACACACAAGTGCTGGCCTGGACACCAGCATTTTGCAAAGGCTGGCATGTTATCCCCCAGCAGCCTGCCTTTTTGCAAGCTGTCAGCCACTTCGCAAAGTTGCTCACAGGGGCTCATGCCTTCCCAGGCTCTTTGGCTCACTCTTCAGAGCCCTTCCTTGCATTTTCCCTAGATGGAAACTTTGAAAATGCACTTTTTCAAGATTCTTTTTGCACTCTTTTCCAGCCAGGTGCCAGGCACTGTCTCCTTCATTTTGGAACACCAAAGTAAGGCTGTGGGTGGGGGGAGGGGCGGTGAGGGGTTTAAGACCTGCATTGCTTGCACACAAACCCAGGGACTTCGCAAACTTTTCCACCTTCTTTTTGTGCTATTTTCCAGCCCAGCGCCAGACTGTCTGGTTTTTTTCCATATCAGAAATGAGGCTGCTGGTTGCGGGGATTGCCCCACGCAAGCACTAGAAATTGTGGGAGCAGAGGTTGCAGTGTACATTCACTGTATCAGTGAGGGAGGTTTGAGGTGGGTGAGGGATGACAGCACAGTAGGGGCAAAGAAGGACTCATCCCAGTCACGACACTTGCCCCTATGGGGCACAGAAATGCAAATCCAGGGTTCAACAAGACTGCAGGCTGACCAAGTGGGGTGCAGTGAAGCTTTGAGTGCTTTCTGATGCCTGCACCTGTGAGACATGTGACTCAAAAGGGGACATGCTGATGTGCTACATGCCATCTTTGGTGACACTTTACCTGACACTTGTGTGTGCCCTGAGGGTGGCAGGATCATCCCTAGGGGGTGTGAATACAAGTGAAGGCCCCGGGCACAGTGCTTTGGGGTCCCTGCAGAGAGAGGTGGAGCAGACGGGGTGACTCCTCAGCGCTGCCACCAGCCTCATATCCAGATGCTCACCAACTCCCCTTCCCTACTGCTGCTGCCATGGCACACAGGATCAGCTCTGTGCAGGGGGGGAGCTAATTTGCTCAAGATCCTGCACCAGTGGTGTACCATGGGTCTCTAGGGCCTGAAGGACAAGCCTGAGGTGCCACTGCCCTCACTCCCATGAGCACCCAACCCAGACAAGACCCCTTCTGTGGTGGTTTCGATGGTGGGGGGAACCAGCAGCACAGAGTGGTTGCACCCCCTTTGCACCTGTCAATGGTGCCCCCTTTGTGTCCATGCCGAAGCGGCCATGCCACCCTCCACTGTCAGTATGCCACTGCCCTGCACCCTGATAGGGTCGTCTCCAGTTGGAGGGGTGCATTGTTTAGTTCAAATTTATTGGCTGGTGGAATTTTATGGGCGTGAAGGAAGGTATGTAAGATGCACAAGAGGCACCAATACAAATTCTGATGTTCTTTCTATCCTCCCTCCCTCCAGTTTTTAGATCCCCTTCCACTGCTAGCCACAGGCTGATCAATCCCTGTTGGTGTGACAAGAGGCAGAAACAGAAAGGAGAAAGAAAAAATGAAGAGGATGACAACACTTCCTTCAGGATGCTCTCAACAATTGAATTGGTATGCATTATAATTATAATTGACTTTCATTCCACCTGATATAGACTTATAATATAATAACAGGTAATACTAATAATAGGAGGCAACTATTAATTCCAATAGTAATATATTAATAAGAGTTTATAGTAATACAAATGATTTATTAATAGTCAGTAATGATTGTAACTGTTCAATTTCTTATCAAAGCATTTCAAAGCAGGTAGATCTGCCTTATCACACACATCCTGGGCCTCCACCATATATATATATATAGCCAAGGTATGATGCAGACTTATGTTATATAGACTTATAATTACAGTTCAATTCCTTACAATGAGAAAGCAGATACTGAGCGTAAGGCAGTTGATTATGTACCCTCCCTGCCTCTTTCCCTGGGGTGAGTGGAGGGGGTTGAAGAAAATGCCCACCTCCTGGTTCAAGCTCTCCCCTAGGTCCCCCTATTCAGCAGATCCATTTCATATTATTCTAGTCCTCCTCCTGGTTGCTGACCCTGTTTGCTAATCAGTGTATTATGGAATTATAATTAGAGGATTGCTGCTGGCCACAACCACAATGTGGAGTCTTTCTTCTTGGTTGCTGGCCAAGACCTCCAGCAAATTCCCTCCTGGGGTCCGGGTAGTAGGCCCAGGCCTGTGGGCTCTTCACCCCACTTGCTGCCCTCTGCACTTCTCTGTTGCACCCTTGTAACTTTTGAATTGTTGCTGGCGACAAAGCAAGTTGTGCACCTGAGCTATGACCCTATATGACACTTCATATAGTCTTCTTACCCTCCTCCTGGTTACTGGCCATGCCCCAGCAAATTCAGGCTGGGGAACAGTACATGTCTTTTGACTGGGGGAAAGCTTTTTGCTGGGGAAAACCCTTTCTGCCCTTAACATATAGTCTGTGTTATATGTACGGAGTTAGAATCTCAAACCAAAGGTTAATGGTGAAAATGCAGGGGTGGAGGAGCTCCCAACAGACCATACTCACCCGGAGATTGTGGGTCAGTGGAGGGTCCAATGCTATAAAGCAATACTCTTGACCTCATCAAGACAGACTCAGCTGATTGAGAAGAGAGCATTCCAATGTGTACCTTTTGACCAAGTGGACACTGTGAACAACAATAGAGAGACAATCCAGTCAAGGACGCAGACCCCTCTTGGAGCAATCTACTATATAATAGCAAGTTATGGCTGGTACGGCTTAAAGAGGGGAAATGTCCTTGTTCAATAAGGTTAACAGGCGTGCCAACAGATCAAAAGAACCCACATCTATTACAACCTGCTTTCCCCTTTCCTCCCCCAATTAACTCATGAATTTCCTGAATACTACCAGTCAAGGCTAAGTTATATTAGACTTGTATTATTTAAATATAAGAGAAGATAAACAGGCTTAATAAAACTATGAAACAGGCTTAAATGATTTAAATATAAGAAAAGAGAAACAGATAAAAGGCAGCATTTACTCTTCCTCCCTTGTGCAGATACACCTTTAGGGAGAAGACTTTCTACAGGCTTGGAATACTTACAGCAAAGGAGGTGTCTGCATGGTACAGTGCAGTTCCACAAAGAGATACTGCCAGGCAGAAACCTTGAATGTGGGGGCCTCAGCCTCACAGCTGCTCATCCCAACCCACCACCCTACAGCTGGTCACTCAGGCTGGTCAAGCATGTCCTGAAGTCTCCAGAAGGGCCTAGTCCTCCACCAGCAAAGCTGATGAGGATCAGCTGAACCTCCTGTTCCCCCATATAAACCCCTGACCCAGAACAGGAAGTGTCTGGAGAATGTGGCTCAGGCTGATCCCAGAGTTTCTTGCTGTTCTCCTCTGACTTGTGCTCTGACTCTGCTCTCTTTTTGGTCACTTGGCTTCTCAACCTGGCTTGTTCTCTGACTCCACTCTCTGCATGGTCCCCTGGCCTCCTGAGTCATTTTGTTCCTAGACCCTGCTCTCTGTTCAAGCTCCTGCCCTCCTGACTTGGCTTATTCTCTGACTCCACTCTGCCTGATTCCCCTGGCTTCCAAATGTCACTCTCTGTGGCTAGGGACAGACACATAAACCAGTTTAAGTGATCAGAAACTGGTTTTAACCTGTAACAGAACAGATGTTCAGTGCATGTAAACCAGTTTGAAAATGGCTGAAACTGTTTTGAGATAAACCTGTTTGAATGTAGTATCATACTTAACTAATTTGGGTCAAATAGGTTTATGCAATGTATGTCCCAGACCCCATTGCTGGTTTAAGTTAAACCAGACTCCCTCAGCATCCCAGCATGCTTTTTGGTCTGGGCAGGGCTCTCTGCTCCACAGCAGGGCTGGAGCTTGGCAGAAACTGTAGGCATCTGCCTGGCTCCTCCCTGTTGCCCCCCCTTCCCCCTCCCTGCTAAACAGGGATTGCCTCATTCCCTCTGCCTTACACAGACACCTCTCAGCACTAGCTAGCAGACCACATGCTGGCTACAGTCCATGCTGCAGCAGATGGGACAAAGGCAGAATCAACAGGTTGCTGGTAATGTCCGTCTGCTGTTTTCTTAATGGGGTGATAAACACTGAGGGTGATAAACACTGTGTTATCAATTCCCTGCTGGGCTGGTCAGAAGGTGGCGGGGGAATCCCTCCCTAATCAGAGTGTCCTGCCAGGGCCTGGCCAGCCCCCACCCTCCCCTTCAGCTCAGCCCTGAGGAAGGGAAAGGAGGGCTGCTTTAGCACCCCCTGGCTTCTAGCCTGAGCCACTGCAGTCATGTGCCTGCATTTCTGGGATGTCTGGGCAGTTACAAACTGATTCAGTCTAGCCAGGTTAGATTAATCTGCAAAGATTAAATCAATTCAGGCTCAGGCTTTTTGAACGTCTGTCTCTAGCTCATGTGTCAGTTTTCCCATCCGCAAGATGTGGACAATTATATTGACCACTTTTGTTAGTCATATGAATGGGCTACATATCAGTTTTTTAGCAGGGCACAGATTCCTGCTTGCTCCGTGAAGCTGACTGTTTCAATTGTGTTTGCTTTAAAGCCTTTGTCCTGCTTCCTGGAAAGGCTGTCTAATCTTTTCTTGTTTAACCAAAGGCTACCTCCTAAATAGCTAGCAGGGAGGATTTAACTCATTCTACTTGCCCTCCAGGCATAATACAGTTGATCCCAGCCCTCCATTTTGAAAGCTGGTAGATCTAGGATGGCATAATAAGATACTTCACTTCAGAACCCATCAACTTTCTTTAAAAAAAATCAACATCAGGCAATGAAAGCTATGTCCACACAAACCTGTCTGCCACCACCCTTGTGTGGAATTTATGACCCCTGAAATCTGACTCAGTCCATCACTCAGTCTGTTTCAATGACAATGGAAAATGCTGTTTTCTCAGATAGGCTTTTACAGACCTGCCTTTGTAATAGTACCTACAGCTTATACAATCATGTGGAAATTAGTGACTCATTTTGTACAAAATCCCTTTCTCAGATTCTCAGAGGCTTCTTTTATATTTGTAACATTTAGTTTCTGATGCACAGACCTTGTCTCTTCCTGTGTATTGGTCGAGGGCCCAGTGCATTTTTGGCAATAGAAATGATAAAGTAGGAGTAGCACTGTATAATTTATATTTTCTTGTGATTTATTAATCATAAGTTTAAATGTAAATTGTTTGTGCCTAGAGCAAATTGGCAAGGGCTAGGGAAGAAAGAATACCATTTGTAGAGAATGTCACCAAAATGAATACAATGTACTGTGTGTCCCTTTGTAGGAGCACACCCTTGTGACCACACACAATTAATAGACAGACCAGTAAAAAGTAAATCAAACTAACATGTTTTTGGTTCAGCTACAGGAATGAAAAATAATTCACTTGTAGGCTGTTCGAATTTATAGGTTAGGCAAGTCCTGCTGGTAAGGGCAAGAACCATATATATAGATATATATGGTTCAGGGTGAGAAGATGCTATAAACATTGTTCCATTTAAGAAAACTATACCTGTGACAAGTGTCTTCAGATCTCCGCCCCTGGATGCCTTCTTATAGTAGTCACATGTTTAGAAAAAGATGGGAAACTTGCTTAACAGTGATGAGAATGGTTTTCTTTCCTTGCAGACACCTAGACAATAAAAAGCAAAAAACCCACAGAGATCTCCACTCAGCGTTCCATTGTTCTTTAGAAATTAAGTCTATAACCTATACAGTGAATCACTAGCCATACACACTCTGGAGTTGTTTGAGGAGATTTTGTCAGCCCACATTCTTTAAACTTCAAGTTTTCTGCAAACTTCAGTGGGAGCAGATGCTGTCACAATCTGTTTGCCACAGAGATATGCCAGGAATGCATGTCTCAGTAGCCTAGGCCAGGCTATTTCTCCCTAGAAACCACTTTCACATACTAGCAATAGATGGGGCTCTGTGTTGCAAGAGCTGTCCTACTGGTTTTTTAGAAAACTACAGAAAGAGAAATTTTCGTTACAGTTGAATCTTAATAATCTCACATCTCCTAGTGTGTCAGATATCTCTGAAGAGGAAGCAGCAAAATGCCTATCATCTATCAAAATGGAAGCCATTTGAATACCTAGATAGTCGGGGCATTGGTGAAAGGTGGAGAATGTCACACCATCCTGCCTAATGACCAAGGAGCGGAAAGAATTAGAAGACAGGTATACATACACAGTGTATTTAACTTACCTAACTTTCAAATAAATGCATAATTTGCTGAATCACCACACTGCCAGTCCCTGAACACCTATTGTTTGTGTGATAGTAGCAAATGTTGGTTATCTGCATATTACTTAAGTACGTAGCTCAGCTGTTCACTCTAACATAATTGTGCTCTGGGTAACTTCATAAAAACAGTGAAGCAGCTGTCAAAAGTCAGCTATTGCAAGCCTTGAAAATCATGAGCATTAGACAATTTCAGGGCTATTATTAGAAGCCTTGATGATGACAGGAGCTGGGCAGTTTCAGGGCTTCTATGTCTTCTCATTTTCAAGTCTTCTAATAGCAGCTCCCAAACAAACTC